CCTCTTCCTCTGCGCAGCGCCCCTCTATAGCTCTTCATAATTCACCCCTTAGAATTACAACGCGCGGAAACGTCGAGCATCAATCTTCCCGTTCCAAATTCAATGAATACTTCCTTGTCGAGCAGAATTAGTGTTTTCCCTTTTGGTAATAATACCGTAACTATAGTTTCATCCTGTTTTGTTACTCCGTTTTCACGTTATTTAAATATCTTGATCGCTCGCTTTGTCTTCCATTGTGTCTTTCCTCTTTTATTGTATCGTCTTCGTTCTTTTTTCTCGTTTATCAAATAAATATTATTATTATTATTATTACTACTATTATATTATTATTATTATTACTATTATTATATTATTATTATTATTATTATTACTACTACTATATTATTATTATTATTAATATTACTACTACTACTACTATATTATTATTATTAATATTAATTATATAATATTATTAATATATAAAATTAATAATATTAAATATTATATAATATTACATATAATATAATATTATTACTAATATTAATAATAATAATATAGTAGTAGTATTAATAATATTAATACTAATATTATTATTACTGTTATTATCTTTACAACCATAATTTTTTTAAAATAATAATAAATATTTAATTCATTAGTAGTATTATTATACTGTTACACAGTTAAAAGCATCGAACGGCACGAAGCGCGTTAAAGCAAACGAAACGTTTCAATCATGTTGAAACGTAGCAGGAGAAATACAATTTTGTATTGAACGTCCTGAATTTCTCAGTCTAATTTTGACGGTCCAGTTAATTATATCTTTTCAATATGCCGAGCGAGAGGAATCACGTGTTTTAATTAATTTATAATTGGTCGACTGCGAGAGCCCCTCGGTCGTCTCAGGATTAACGAAACGATCACGAAGGAGTCCTGATGGATTCAAACGGCCGTAGGTATTTTTATGCAGTCCGTTGCACCGTACCCATTAAGCCACAATAATTGGACGAGTTATCAAATATTCGCCGCCGCAGAACGTTTATTTCGACGGACTCTTGAACAACACGCTTATAATAAGCATTTTTCTCCGAGCCATGCGAATATTTTCGTCGAGTGTTCATAATTGGTATCTAGCATTAAAACCATTATCTTTCTGGTCGCTGCAACTACAAACGTGAAATGCACGCTTTTCGCTGGAAAAAAATATCGAGACTTAAGTTTTATCAACACTTTGCATTCGAATGTTGACTCGGTAAAACTCGACGATTCGCTAATAATTGTTGTAAATAGCACGATAATATGAAAATAATTTTTACATTGCCAAATTTGTTTTTATTTAAAGAATTGTTGAATGTCTATGACTATTAATTGTTGTATAATTCACGAGACTGAATTAAATATGTACAACGTGAAGTCGCAGTCGATAAAAATCAATAATAATACGTAATAATAAATAACAATGATTAATAATAATAATAAATAATAACAATAATTAATAATAATTAGATCAATAATAATATTACTGATCTCTTTTTAGATATTTTTGGAATGGAAACAATAAGAAAAAAGTTAAAAATCCAATTTTTTCGATCTGCGCATCGCGGATGCGCTGTGCAAGACTCGCCTTTATCAAATTATGCAATTCTAGCTGCTACGAATTAAGAAACATTTTTAATGCATTTTTGTTGCATACGATCGAGCTGATGTATCGAAGTATTGTTTATGAATATACAGGATGTCCCAAAAGTAACTCAAAATCAAGAAATAAGGGGTTCCTGAGGTCATCCGAAGTAACTTCAGGAACTTCTCATTTCCCGATTTCGAGTAACTTTTGGAACACTCTGGAGAGAGAGAGAGAGAGAGAGAGAGAGAGAGAGAGAGAGAGCAAACGAATCTCTCTTTTCGTTTCTCATTGATTTTGTGTCTTCTCGTGTGCCACGTAGTTGTTCACGGTTTTTACACTTGTATCGCATTTGCACTTTAATCGCACGTTCTTAAATAAAATCCCCGAACTTTCAGAAATATCGCCTACATCTTTCGTTGAATAAATTCCTAGTAAATGCGTCTCTATAATTTCACCAACGGCGAGTGAAAAATATTTGAACGCGTAAACCGGGCGTTGCCTCCAGCATATTCGACGAACTTCCATTTGGTGGATCGAACGGTGGAAAATTACACGGTGTAATAAAATGATAAAATTCGTCGGAACGAGGATTCGCCCAATTTATTCATACATACATTGGCGAGCCGTGTCGCACACGGCCGTATGAAAAACTCGATGTCGTTCTAATATTGAACGATTAAAACTTCGTCGGCGATACGTGCGGACGGATGAAAAATATTATAGAGGGTGTCCCAAAATTATGGTATTTCCGAGAAATGAGAGATTCCTGGGGTGATTTGAAGCAACTTTTTCCTTTGCGAAAATTTTCTCCGAGGCATCGTTAACGAATTATTCGTGAAAAACACTGACCAATGAGGAGCGAGTTCGCTCGGCGCTAGGCGACCGAGCCAATGACCGTAACCGAGCTCCGTGCGCTCGTTGGCTCGACCGCCGCGCGCCAGCCAAGCTCGCCTCTCATTGGTCAGTGTTTTTCGTTAATAACTCGTAAACGAAGCCGCGGATTGCATTTTCGCTGAGGAAAAAGTTACTTCAAATAACCTCAGGAACCTCTCATTTCCCGGAAGTACCATAATTTTTGGACACCCTGTATAAACGTTAACGAACAGAGAAGCGCGCCAACGATGTTTGATCGCCGCGTCTGTCCGGCCGTGTTTAATATTTGACATAATAGTATATGGCTAGTAGCCGATACGCGACGATACGGCGACGAATTTCTGGATCATGATGTTCGTAGTACAGTAATGTCTCTCTAATTGTCGCTCGGATTGTCCACAAAAATGAGCAATTTCGGAAGAGGAAATACGATTATTCGAACCTTGCGGTTCGTCTTTATAGTTACGAATTGTCAACAATTGAGCCGTTTATTTTAAAAGTGGCATAAGTCACTTTGTTTTTAAGTCGATATATTTAAGGGTTTGCGTTTTAACGCGTTTAAAAATATGGACTCTAACTTTCGAGAAGATTTACTTGTATTTATTACCTCAGGATACTGATATTTTTCTCAGTATAAATAATTTCGTATAAACATTAAAAAATTACCACTTTTCATTACGGTAAAGTGACTTATGCCACTTTCAAAATAAACAGCTCAATTACAAAAACGATCCGCAAAGCTCGAACAATCGTATCTCCTCTTCCCAAATTGTCCATTCTTGTGCACAATCTGAGCGTCAGTTAGGGAGACACGACTGTAGTTCGTACGGAAAACACGCGCACGCATGAAGCTTCTTTCTTAGCTGGCCGATAAGCGAAATACATTCGCGAAGTTTGATCGCCGACGTCGAGCCACTTTATGGATTAGTTGGAATAATTCCAAACCAAACGGAAGCAACTGGAATAGTGCCATTAGATTGATCGGAGATACGTGGCCAAATTTCGGACTCGGACAAAGAGCCAGTCCGTGACAGTGTCAATGTCGGGTCACGCGTTACTCTCGCGAGATAGGACAACGAAATGAAGATACTTGGCAATGGTCTCGTTTTCGATTCGTTCGCTAATTTTTCCCTTCTTTGAGAATCGTTCTGCATCATTCTTCGCGAATCGTTCTACAACGTTTTTGCTAATATTCACGCAACTGCAATTGAGCCTGTTAGTCGACAAGTTGCGTAAGTCCCGTTTTTTAGTCAGATCGTGGCGAAATTTATTTCAAGCAGTTGGAATTCTAATTTAAATTTCCATTTAAAAGTCATTGTAATTTAGTAAATTTCTATTTAAAAATCAATGTAATTTAGTAAATTTCTATTAAAAAATTAATATAATTTAGTAAATTTCCATTTAAAAGTCAATGTAATTTAGTAAATTTCTATTTAAACATCAATGTAATTTTGTAAATTTCTACTTAAAAGTCATTGTGATTTAGTAAACTTCTATATAAAAATCATTGTAATTTAGTAAATTTCTATTCAAAAATTAATGTAATTTAGTAAATTTCCATTTAAAAGTCAATGTAATTTAGTAAATTTCTATTTAAACATCAATGTAATTTTGTAAATTTCTACTTAAAAGTCATTGTGATTTAGTAAACTTCTGTATAAAAATCATTGTAATTTAGTAAACTTCTATTTAAAAATCATTGTAATTTAGTAAATTTTTATTTAAAAATCATTGCAATTTAGTAACGTTCTATTTATAAATCATTATAATTTAATAAATTTCAATTTAAAAATCATTGTAATTTAATTCCCTATCGAGAAATTAAAAAGTGCTGTACCCATTAAATACTAAATAAATAAACAAAACTGGAATACTTCTGTTATACACTTACAGACATCTTACATACGTGATTTTGCAAAAATATATCGATTTAATCGAGAGTTCATTAAATCTGCACGTGACGCGATTTAAAAAAACGCTATAACTATCGTGAAATGCCGGAATAATTTCCAGAATTATGTTAAAAATTCTGCCGAGATCAACGCAGACAGTTTACAGCCCCGCGAGGTCGCGAGCATGATTAAATCAAAAAGAAAATGAAAAGTTCCCGAAAGGCGAGTTAACTGGCCGGCGAGCCCAGTAAACGGATTAAAAATTATGCGAAGTAACGCTATTCGTGGGCACATCCTCTCCCGCGGGAGCTGAAAAGCCGCATAAACGCCGACTCACGGCACGATGGACGAAACAAAGTAGGTTATGAAACTCTATTACCAGTGTACAGGACGTTTCTAAATTTTTCAGGGAACTTTCACTCGGTCGCCGGCGGTAAAGCGATCCGTTTCGCGTGCGGAATTTCCGAGGCTGAACGATCACCGCGAATCCTTAGGAAACCGAGCCACGTCCAATCATTCCGCATGTATTATTAACCGCCGTCGTCGTCGAGGCTCGGTGGCGCGCTCTACCGCGACAGTGTGTGGACTATACGTATATCTATAGCGTGCGGGACTATCCACGAAAATGACGGAAACGTGACAAGCGAGACGAGACCAGGCGGAGCGAGGGTATCAGCGAAATTATTCGACGACCGAGTAACTTTATCGTGTTTGCGCTGTCGTCCTTAGTTAAAACGTTCTGTCTACTAATTTACCAGTTTTCAGGATATTTTGAAATATTTGGAACGTCGCACGCCTTTTACCTTTTTGGCGAAGCTAGAATATTCTATCTTCTACTTCGTGGAGTTCCAAATGTAAGTCCACTTATTTGTTTTCGCTTATTTCAAGATAATTTCATTAATATTTTATTATAATTCACACACACACACACAGAAATGCTAGTTAGGGTAATTTGACTAAAAAGTGCAGTTATGGCCCACGGTTTTGGCGACTCCGCGAATCTGCCGGTATTTAACCATTTTCTTCTTATTATTATTATTCTTATTTATCTTATTTCGTGCAGAACATATCGTACTTCCCTAAGGTAAAATATTAAATCAAATGCAACTTTATAATTTTCATTTTGTGTGGATGTTAACCATTTCCTTTCTCAGAAAATAGTTAAAATCACACAACACAGTTTTTCGATTACATAAACCTTGTTTATTACAGACACGTGCGTGTAACACTTGGACGCGTATACCGAAAGAAGAGGTTATGTTACAGTACGAATAGAAAAGGAGTAGATGGCGCAAGGGTGCGGCTTTAGGATCAGTTCCTAATAAGACAGATTGTATCTTTTTGAACTGAAATACTAAATTCTATGCAGTTTTATGATCTACATTTTGTGTGGATTTTAGCTGTTTTCTTGCTCTTATTTTATTTTGTAGAGAACATGTTGTACTCCTCCAAAGTAAAATATTAAATGAAACAGAAGTTTACCATTTTCATTTTGTCTGAATTTTAATTACTCTTTTCTCCTCTGATTTTATTTTGTGCAGAACATATTGTATTTCTCTAAAGTAAAGTATTAAATTAAATAGAATTTTATAATTTTTAATTTGTGCGCATTTCTCTCTTTCTCTCTCTCTCTCTCTCTCCATCTCGACTAGTTTCTTCCGGGATTTTATTTCGTGTAACACACACTGCGTCTTTTTGAAGTTGGTTGCAATTTTATAATTTATATTTTGCACGGACCTCGGCTATTTCATTTCTTTGACATTATTTTACGTCGAGTGAATTGTATTTCTTTGAAGTAAGACACCAAATCGAATGCAACCTTATAATTTATATTTTGGACAGATCTATATTATATTTCTTCAAGTAAAATACTAATTCCAGCAAAAATTAATAATTCATATTTTGCTCACATATTTCAAATAATCTTATTTATTTCTTCATCTTGTACAGGGTATATACAGAGCGTCCCAGGTTTGAATGTTTAAACTTTGTCAGTACATTCTATGGCATAAAGTAAGAAAAATATGTTATGCAAACATAGGTCATATAGAGCTTTATTAAGAAGTTATAACAAAAATTCAGAATAGGATTAATAATGCGTTCAATGAAATGAAAGGGAATAGAAACGAAATTCGCACGGTCATAAATTGGATCTTCGATCGATGTCAATCATGTATTGTCAACAACGGTAGATATTTCGAAATGTATTAACAAACACAGCTTACATAAACACACGGCATGTGCTGATCTATTCAAGCCAATGCTCGCAGTAACAGCAAGTTGATTACTATTCCTATTCTGAATTTTTGTTATAACTTCTTAATAAAGCTCTATATGACCTATGTTTACATAATACTTTTTTCTTACTTTGTGCCATAGAATACACTGACAAAGTTTGAACATTAAAACCTGGGACACCCTGTATATTGTATTTCTTCAAGTCAAATCCAAAATCCAACAAAACTAAACATAAAATCCAAAGTGCAACAAAATCAACATTCACATTCCTTGTGAATTCTACCTACGTTCTATTTCCTATCGCGTATACATTCTGCATACTGTATTATATTTCTTCAACTAAAATCCAAAATGCAACAAAATTAGAAACATTTATATTTTCTCCAGGTTCCAGCAATCTTATCTCCGATTTCATCTTTTGTACAAAGTACATCGTATTTGTTCGTATAAAATCCGAAATACAACAAACCTAGACATTTACATTCTGTGTGAATTCCAGCTATGTTTTCGGCCCAATTTTGCATCGTGCATAGCACATTGTAATTTCTCAAGTACAATTCTAAATGCAACGAAACCGGGTACATTTATATTTTATGCGGATCCCCGCCGCGTTCCGTTTCCTATTTCGCGTTGCGCCGCGTATATATCGTATTTTGTTACATTCCCGCGGTTCCACGAACGTTCGATATACCGAGGGGGGGGGGGGGG